GATTCTTGAAATAAGAAAAAATTGAGTCAAATCAAGTATTTCAAGAATCTTACCAAGTAAAGTTTTCTTACTCCACTGGCAGAAATTTTTGACTTAATTTGAGTCAAATTTTCAGACTAACAAGACAAATAATCTTACACATTCAGAAAACAAGATGATTATTCTTACACAATCAGTTCTTGTTTAGTAAATCAGTCCCAAAACAAGATCAAAAAGACTTTTTGGCTGATATAAGATTTTAAAACTTGATAAGATGGACATTTTTTAAGAGAGAACGATGAGTCCAGTGGGTCACAGAACATCAGGCTGAAGGTCCTGAATGGATCTGAAGAAATCATGGAGTTGTTACAAAAGATAACACAGTTATAACTGGAGATAAAATTACATAAAACGTGTTAAAGCTTTCTTTATTGTGTGAATTCTGTCAACATTCAGCCTATCTTAMTCTTTTTACTAACATTTACTTCTGCATACTTTATATCAAAACGTTCAGCTCAGAAGACGGGTGCTTTTTGCCATTTTTACACTTTTCACAATATTTAAGTTAATTTGCAAATAGTTGCCTCAAAAKAATCACTGTAAGCTTCTACATTCAGCCTGTTTAGATTCTGCTCCAACAACTCTATTTTTGTCTTTCTTTATGCTGCTTTTAGCTTTTGGCTGCAATTCTGCGATGTTTCTGCTCATGTTTTACTAACTGTATAGTGTTTTTTGCTGCTTTTAGCTGGTGTTTTGCAGCATTTAGCTTTTTCTTTGCTGAAAGTGTTTTTTACTTGTTTTGCTGCTTTTATTTTTTAGCCACTCGTCTGCTTTAGTTAACTTTTAGCTTCTTCTGCAAATATCAGCAAAGTCATTCAGCTGTCAGAACTCACAAACATTTTTTTWAATGTTTGCATCATTCTTTCATGGAGGTCTGGAAGTTGGTGTCGTTATTCTGGGGGTAGAAGGAAGTTTGGGAAATTCTGGTTTAGAGCATCAGAATCCTGACAAAAGCTGCAGGAGGATGAAGCTGTTTCTCTGTCATCTATTAAATTAAAAACCTTATTTAAAGACCTGCCAGGCTTTAAAAATGTTCAGAAAAGCTGTCGAGGTTTCGCAGTGTGATGTAAAATGTAACGTTTGTCAGATCAGAGCGTTCAGCTCTAACAGTCAGAGAAAATCAGCCACTTAAAGCAGCAGTCTGCGTTAACAAAGAGCTCCTTTTACTGTTTAGATTTAATCTGAGCCCGTCTGGGAAACTGAGATGTAAACACKTTGAATTAGTTAGCAGGAGAGATTCAAAGGGGAATTGGGGGTCTTTTTTTAAATTTTTTGGCCCCAGGTGGAGTTATTATCCTTATCTGTTGGGGCTCCCTGCTCCTTATGTGGAGCAGAAGCATCCTTCAAACGATTAAAAGCAACACAAACAGTTTTTGTGGCTGAGTTTTAAAAACACTCGCCCGTATTTCCTGCAGTCTTAACGAAGCTGTAAGTTTATGGTCTGTTTTTGTTTTAAAGCAGTTTTTTTTTCCCTTCATAACAAGCGGTTGGGGGTGGGGAGCGGGGGGRTTAAAAGGGCAATTTCTCACACCAAGCTGAGAAAAACAAATGTAAAGAGAGATTTTGTTTTCTCTAAATTAATCTAGTTCAACTTTAAAATTGAACCTATTCATCTGAATGTCTTGTTTTCTTAAACGTACATGAATTACAAAAAAAAAAAGATGCATGATTCGTTTAAAAAAACTGTTTAATAAATAAAAAAAGACAGTGTAAATTAGACAAATTTCAGATGGAGACTTAAAGAAAGTCAGTGAAATCAACCCCATGCAGACAGAGTCAGACCTGCACTGGTCCCTTTTACAGAACAGCAACACAAATATGTACAAAATGCATTCTTATAAAGATTTTTATACTTTTTAAACTCTTTAAGAAAAAAACAAAATATATATATTTTTTGCAAAAACAGAATAAAAAGAAATACAGGCTGGAAAACGCACACAACTGTATGGATCTTCTGTTGGTGCTGCTTTCAGATCCAATCTGCATTCACACACACACACACACACACAC